GGGCCGGGGACGGCCACGTCGGCCCGCGGGCTGGGCGGCGGCCGGGCGCTCACGGAGAGCCGACCCGGCCTGCAGTGAGTCAGAGATCACCTTGTTTAATGACACATTCCCCGGGCCCCGAGTGCGATAGGGGCCTTTTGAACTTGCCAATTAGAGATGAAATATCACCTTCTAATTTGGACCGGCTTCATTCCGTCACGCAGGAATAGCAACAGCCCCGGGGCTCCGAGACGGGGTGTCAGGTCTCTCTCTCCCGGCACGGCGAGAGCCAGGCCGAAGGGCGCAGAGCGAAGGGGACCGGGAAGGAGCCGCCGCCTGCCCCCTCTGTCCCCGGCTAGGCGTGGGGCTCGCGGTGGGGAGGAGAGCTGCCGGGCCACCGGGGAAGGGAAGGGCCCTTCTCTGGATGGGCGCAGCCCCGGCCGGCTGGGGAGTAGCCAAACTCGGGTCCAGATTCCAGCCTGCTTCTGTGAGACCCTTGTGTTGTGGGGGGTTAGAAAAGGGGGTGGATGAGAGTCCGGAAGGCCTTCCGGTGGAGGGAAGAGACTTCAAGCAGAGGGAATAGCGTTAGGTTGCTGGAAGAAGCGGGGAAGGTGGGCAAGGACCTGATTTATTTGGAAGGGGCCTGCTGAATGCCCGTTTTGCCGTCTTGGGGAGTGTGTAGGTAGAGGATCTGGAGTCAGGCTGCCCGAGCTTCAGGTTCAGCTGGGCAGCTCACTAGCTCTATGACTTTGAGGTAGCCATTGAAGTCCTCCAAGCCTCAATTCCTCATCTGTAAAATGGGCTTGCAAATATCATCTGCCTCATTGGATTGCAGCGAGCATTACAGAAATAAACCACATGAAGAGCCTGGCATGTGGAAGCAGGTGATACTGGGTAGCCACTGTTTGGATGAGGGCAGCACCCTCATCCATAGAACGAAATTTTCGGCCCATAGAACGAAATTTTCTAGTAGTTAATTTTTATAAAGTAAAAGAAAACAGGTGAAATTAACTTTAATATATTTTATTCGACCCGTTCAAAATATCATTTCAACGTATAATCAATATAAAATAGTTATTAATGCGATGTATTACATTCTTTTCTTGAAGTGATTCTTCAAAATCTGGTGTGTGTATAGCATTTCTCAGTTGGGACTAACCCCATTTCAAGTGCTCAACGGCCTCACAGGGCTATGGATTGAACCGCAGGGGATTAGGGCTTTTCTTCATCCCTTTTAGCAGAGAACTGTGCTTTACAAAAAAATAAAGGAAATGAAATCTTGCAAAGAACCCCCTTATGTATAACAGGGAGGAATGAAGCTGCTCTGAAGTTCTGCTAGGTCACCTCTTCCCACTTCCCCTCCCTGGTGGCATTCCTGGAATCCCCTTTGCCCCCGGTATTTTGAGACCCTCTGTTCCCGGGAACTAGGAACCTATGCAAGGTTATTAGGGAGGGTGACAACATCTCAAATTTGGGCTTTACACATTTATGAAATGCATGCACTATGTCACTCCAGTAGGCCCCCACACACCCTGTGAGGTAGGCAGGGATGTCACGCATTGTACCGTCAGTGAATGGACTCAGTCCCAGGTTATCTGACTTCAGGGTGTCACATCTCCCCCTTCCTCCCTTCCCCACAGTTTGGCTTCCCCAGGTGAGCTGACAGTACAACCTGCTCCTGAGACCCAGGTGCCACCATTCTTCCCATCCTCCCCCACATTGAGTGACACGCTGTGCCAGGTACTAGGCTAAGCACATTATATTTCTTACCTTCCCTCAGTCCACATAATAATCTGTGAGATACTAAGAATTATGATTGCCACTTGTAGATGAGGAAACTGAGGCCCAGAGAGGCTAAGGAATTTGCCCCAGGACACACAGCCAAGATGGAGTAGAGCTGAGACTTGAAGTTAGGGTTCTTGGTGACTGTGCTACATGCCAGAGCATGGGGTCTCCTCCATGTTGAAAATGACTCCTCAATGACATGGTGCACCCAAATTTTCTGGAAATTGGACTCATGTTTTTTACAGTGGCAGCTTGGGGTGATAGGAAGAATGGTTTTGGAGACTCACTGTGCCACTTGCTGGTTCTGTCTGAGCCTCAGTGACCTCCAGTGTACTGGGGGGATAATGTGCTGACTGACTCAGATGATCTGTTAATGTACCTAATCCACCCCCTTAGCAAGTGGGAGGAAGATTCCTTATGGAGAAGGTTTCACCTTTGGAAGCTGGCAGGATGGCTCCAGGGCAGGGCTGTGAAGGGTTTTACTGCATCAATCTCCAATAACAGAGGCTTGGTCCCTACCCACCCCAGCACAGGGATTTCCATGTTACCCAGCTCTGAAGGGCAGGTCATCTGGGAGTACAAGGAGCAGAGTTGGAGCAGCAGGCCACAGGCCACGCAAGGTGGCCCAGGGGAACCACGTCGCAAGGCCAGGGTCCTGAGCCCCGAGAAAGACCTTCCTCTCCACTCTGGGGCCCATTGAGAGCTACCTCAGCACAGTCCATCCCACCCAGGACGAACTCCAGAATGAGGAGGGAGGCTGCCCAGACATGCTTCCTGGGGTGGGGGAATAAGGTCTATTTCCATACTGTAGACTGTGAGCTGAGGCGAGGCTTCTGGAACCTCCCTGGCTGGAAGAGGAGGCCAGCTGGATGGTGTGTGCAGGACACAGCTGGGTCTGGCCTGACTGGGTTTTGAAGGCCCAGGCCTGAGAGGGTGTTGAGTAAGCAGCTGAAATACTTTCTGTGTCATGAGCCCCAAAAGTTTTTCTGCTCTCAGGGAACTGGCGGAGGGGATTCCAGAAGTGCGGCGGCCCATTCTCTTCCATATGCTCTGACTTCCTTGCTAACCCCTAGACAGTCACTCAAACACACTGTTTCCACCAAAGTGATGTGGGGGAACAGGGCGCCCCATCTTCTCTGCCCACGCTTGCTCTGAATGACTCATTCAAGACCCCCACCCCAATCAAACCGAGATGGAATTTCCCCTTAATACAAATCAAGCCAAGCAGTTTTTCAAGAAAGCTATAGTAGCTAAACCTGAAATCCGAACCTGAAAACCCAGCTGCCGGTCATCCGTTTTGTCCTAAGGCTGGACTAGATCCAGGTGCTGCAGACACATGCCACATACCGATTGAAGCGCTGCGGATGTCAAATCACCGGTCAATGTAAAGCTGAAAGCACCCTCCAGTCCAGGCCCAGCTGACCCACTCCCACCCACACCCTCTTCCTGGCCCAGGCACACACACACCCCCACCCCGCTTATGCAGGCCTTGGCAGCCAAGGCCTGGCGGAGCCCCACCCTGCACAGCTGCAGCTATTTATAGCTGTATCCCTTTCCCAGCCCATCCAAGCTCTGGAGGGCTCTGCTGGGCTTGCTCTTTATCTTCCTGGGCTCCCTGCTGCAAATTAAAATCTGGGGCATCAAGAAGTTCAGGAATGTGTCTCCCATAAAAAAACGGGATTGTACTGCTACAATGGAATTGACAGTAAAGCCACAAAGCCACCTTTTGCAATTCTCTGACGGGGGTGGGGTGGGGTGGGGGAACTTGGGGGAATGCATTTCTAACACGTTTTTCTTTGGCTATTTTTGGCTTACAGTGCCTGCATCTACCTACAGCCCTTCCCCAGGAGCCAATTACAGTTCAACTCCCTACACCCCCTCACCAGCTCCTACCTACACCCCCTCTCCTGCCCCCACCTACTCTCCCTCCCCAGCACCAGCCTATGCCCCCTCCCCTGCCCCAAACTATAACCCTGCACCCTCAGCGTCCTATAGTGGGGGCCCTGCTGAGCCTGCCAGCCGTCCCCCCTGGGTAACAGATGACAGCTTCTCCCAGAAGTTTGCCCCTGGCAAGAGCACCACCTCCATCAGCAAGCAGACCCTGCACCGAGGAGCCCCGGCCTACACCCCGACAGGTTCCCAGGTGTCCCCGCTTGCCAGGGGCACCGTCCAGAGGGCTGAGCGCTTCCCAGCCAGCAGCCGGACTCCACTCTGCGGCCACTGCAACAGTGTCATCCGGTATGGTCCAGCTGTGCCCCTGTGCTGGGAGGGTGGGGGCGTGGGTGCCTACCTGTAATCTGAGACCTGCAGGGAGGGGGCACCTGGGGCAAGGTGCAGTAGGGAGAAAGCTACATGCAGGGCAGCCCCAGGTTGCTCTGGCTTGCCATCGGGTCTGACCGTCTTTGAGCTTTAGCTTCCATACCTGTGTGGCACCCACTTCCCCGGGGAGTTGGGAGGATTCCATGAGGTAAGTGGGTGAAGCTCCCAGCACGGTGCCCAATGCCAGGAGCTCCCCCTTGGGCTAAGGCTGGGTTCTGGGAATCACCAGTCTTGTTGTCAGTAGGCTTATTGGGCATGTTGCAAGCCGGCTGACAGTGTAGGTTTTGACCCAGCTTTCCTTTAGGGTTGCTTCTGGGTCTTCCCATGGACAGGCCTGTGCTTCTCAGGGCTTTGGTGGCATCTGCCACATGTAAATGAAAGCAAGTCATTTCACGTTTAGAAGCCAGGGATCGTGGGTGGTGTGCTTCAAATACGGAGTGTGCGTGTGCGCATGTGTGTGTGTGGTGTGAACTTATACACATGAAAAATACACTTTTATTTAAAAACAAAGTAACATATTCTCATTAGAGAATTAGAAAACACAGAAAAATAAAAATTAGAATTCAAAAAATTTCCTCGTGGTACCACTGTTCCGACTACTAATCCAGAACAAGACTACCTAGGATTGTATCCTGGGTCTATCAGTTCTGGCCTTATGGCCGTGAACACATTACCTAACCTCTCTGTGCCTCAGTATTCTTATCTGAAAATGGGCATTGTAATAGTGCATACACCATGGGATTGTTGTGAGAATTCAACAGGTTAAGAAATGCAAAATTCTTCCTGAACAGTGCCTGGTACAGAGTAAGCGCGTAGGTTAACCACTGGCGCCATCAGCATTACTCATAATTGTCACAGTCAACTGAGTTCCATAAGATGCTTACCCCAAATGACCAAGTTTTGTGATGATGAATTTGATCGTTATACATTGTGTTCATGTATTAAAATATAACTCTGTACCTCATAAATACGTACAACCAATACATTTCAGTTAAAAAGTAAATTCCTAAAAGGAAAAGAAAATATGCTTACCCAGTCCCCTACTGGTGGACGTTTGGGTTGCTTCCCAATTCTCTTTATATAAGTGATGCAGCAATGAACACCTTTCAGCATGGAGCTTTCTCTGAATTTTACATCATTTCATTAGAACAGTCCCAAAAGTCAGGGTTATTGGGTAAAAGTATGAACCTTGTTGGGGTTCCTGAAATACCTGGTTCCAAGTATGGGAGTCTGCCTTAGTAGATGCTGTTCTCTGCTTCTCCAGGGGCCCTTTTCTAGTAGCCATGGGCCGCTCCTGGCACCCAGAGGAGTTCAACTGTGCCTACTGCAAGACCTCCCTGGCAGACATGTGCTTTGTGGAGGAGCAGAACAATGTTTACTGCGAGCGGTGTTATGAGCAGTTCTTTGCTCCACTCTGTGCCAAGTGCAACACCAAAATCATGGGGGTAAGTGGGCAGCTCTCCTCTGACCCTGTCTTTTCCTAGCCCTGAGCAACCTCTCCCTCGCCCCCAAGATTTTGCCTTGCCATTAGGATGCCAAGAAATTGCTGGAAACGGAGAAAAAGCAACTCCATTTCTATCCTAGAAGGGAGTTGGTTTGCCACCAATGAATTAGGGAGCAAATGAACTTGAAGCAAGAGATGATTATATATTTGTGCCACACAGCATGAAGTGGTGGCAGAACTTCTGCAAACAAGTTATTGCTTCATAGCCTGACCTCACCACTCACCTGCATGTGGCCTTGACCCTCAGTGCCCTTTTGGTAAAATGGCAGTAATAAGCAGTGTCTCCCTCCCAGGTGTAATGGGAAGATTAAGCATCATGGCTTATGTAAGCATGCGTAGAACCTGGCACCCAGCAACTCCTTCCTCTGCCACTCCCGGGCCTTTCCTTGACATGTCCAAGGCCTGCGTCCTGGGCTCTTCTGCCCTGTTCCTTATGGGATGCTCAGGCAGTGGCCGGAGCCCAGTGGGGTAGTCAAGCTCAGCTCCCTCTCTCCCCCGTACCCTTCTGTTCTGAGCTCAGGCTCTTTCCCCCAGGAAGTGATGCATGCCCTGAGACAGACATGGCACACCACCTGCTTCGTCTGTGCGGCCTGCAAGAAGCCCTTTGGGAACAGCCTCTTCCACATGGAGGACGGGGAGCCCTACTGCGAAAAAGGTAGGAACGCTGCAACATGATGTGGGGAGGCCCTTGAGTCTGGAGGAAGGAGCAGGCACAGAGAACTAACTCCTGCCTATGTCCATTTACACCTGACCACCAGGAGGCCTTTGTTTCTAGAAGGAGAGTTTGGTTTCTTTTGTTGTTGTTTTGCTTTGTTTTGTTTTTGACAACTGGCCAGTAAGGGGATCCGAACCCTTGACCTTGGTGTTATAACACCGCGCTATAACTAGCTAAGCTAACCAGCCAGCACTGTTTTTGTTTTTAATGGCAGAATCGTGCTAACATTACACAAATGCCCATTTAGTTAGATCCTTTCTTTTTAAGGCTGAATAATATTCCATTGTATGTATATTCCACATTTTGTTTGTCCCTTCTTCCACCGATGGATGCTTGTGTTGCTTCTGCCTCTTGGCTATTGTGAATAATGCTGCTATTTATTTGCACGTGGGTGTGCAAATAAATTTTCAAGACTGTGCTTTTGGTTTTTTGGGGTATATATCCACAAGTGGGATTGCTGGATCATATGGTAGTTCTATTAGGATACTGCAAAAAGTTCATGGAATATTTGTATTATCTTTTAATTCTATTTTTCCATGAACTTTTTAAGTACCCTTGTATTTTTTATTTTTTAAGGAATCTCCATACTTTTTCCCCTAGCAGTTGCACCATTTTATAATCCAACCAACAGGGTTCCAATTTCTCCACATCTCCACCCACACTTATTATCATCTTTTTTTTTTAATAGTAGGCATCCTAGTGGGTGTGAGGTAATATCTCATTGTGGTGTCTTGTCATCATTTTTATCAACAACTTAGAAGACACAGAAGAGAGTCCTGTCAAATTTGCAGATTGAGCCAGAATGACAGAGTCCAGACTCAGAAAGACTTCAGTTGGCTGCAACAATGAGCTGACACTTTTATCTAAGATCTACATATAAATAAGAGAGGTGGGAGAGTCAGCCCCTCACAGACAAACCTGCACCTTAGCAATTCCCAAGCCTGGCAGGGCATCACAATCATCTGGGGAGCTTTAAAATTAAAGACAAGTTAAATTCCCAGACTTACAGAGGCAGAATTTCATGAGGTGCCCCATCCTACCCGGGTGATTCTGATATTCAGTTAGGTTTGGGAATCAGAAACATTTCTCCAAGTGTGGTCCCAGGGCCAGCAGCATCAACATCATCTTAGAACTTGTTAGAAATACAGATCTTCAGGCCCCACCCATATCTGGTGAATCAGAAATTCTGGGAGTCGAGCCCAGCCATCTGTGTTTTAATAAACCCTCCATGTGAGTCTACAGTTTGAGAACCATTGCTCTAGAAAATCACTAAGCCCTTTTTCAACACAGAGCATCAGTGATATGATGGATGGAAATTCTTTTACAATAACAACAGAAGCCATTAAATGCAAGGATTTTAATTTGATTTGGGACATAAGAGAGTTAGTCAAAGAAAATTAGAAAGACTTAAAGGGAGAAATAAAGAAGGGAATAAATAAACAAGGAGATAGATTATGCTCCTGGTGGGAAAGGCCCACGTACAAACTTAATTCTATACCTGTGACATTCTCCTTGTATAGAATAAATGAGGAAAATTGCCAACTTTTTTTTTTTTTTTTTTAAAGATGACCGGTAAGGGGATCTTAACCCTCGACTTGGTGTTGTCAGCACCACGCTCAGCCAGTGAGCGAACTGGCCATCCCTATATGAGATCCGAACCCGGGGCCTTGGTGTTATCAGCACCGCACTCTCCCGAGTGAGCCACGGGCCAGCCCGAAAATTGCCAACTTTTTAAAAAATGATTAGAGACAGACTCATGCTACCAAATTTTAAAACAAAGTAGCAATTCTCCAAATCATACAGAATCAAGTTTAAAACAGAAAACCCTGTCAGCAGGTAAGACTAGACATTCCAGGGCCGCCCCGGTGGTGCACTGGAGAGTGCAGAGGCGCTCCCGCCAAAGGTTCGGATCCCATGTGGAGACCGGTTCCCGCACACTGGGTGAGCGCGGTGCGGGCGTGACACCAAGGGTTGTGATCCCGTTACCGGTCAGTAAAAAAGACAAAAAGGAAAAAAAAAAAAGACTAGACATTCCAGGGCCTCCCCGGTGGTGCACTGGAGAGTGCAGAGGCGCTCCCGCCAAAGGTTCGGATCCCATGTGGAGACCGGTTCCCGCACACTGGGTGAGCGCGGGGCGGGCGTGACACCAAGGGTTGTGATCCCGTTACCGGTCAGTAAAAAAGACAAAAAGGAAAAAAAAAAAAGACTAGACATTCCAGAAAAGGATTCAAGCCACTGTTAAGAGCTTAGTCTGTGAAAAACCAACAGGAGGAGTCACTGTTTGATAAGGTTGTTTGAACCACTTCTTTGTCAATTCATCATTTATCCATCATACGTGTATACTCTGTGCCAGTCCTTGTGGAAGGTGCTAAGCATAGAGGTGAGCGTGGCACGGTCTCTGCCCTCAAAAACCTCAAGTAACCCCATCATCATGTACATGGACACACAAGAGGTGATGAATGAAGGAGTGAAAGGGTGGGTGAATGCATGGATGAAGGAGCGAAGCCCAGGGAAGCCCTCAGGAAGGTCATCTTATCTTTCTTGGTTGGGTGCGGAATGAAGACTTCGCAGAAGGAAAGCCTGGCCCAAAGGACTGCAGAGATTCGAGTAGAGAAAATGGGGAGGGTTTTCCAAGCCCAGGACCTGGTTTATACAGAGGCATGGAGGGGTAAGAGAGAGTCCAGGGCACCTGGAGACCCACCGGGAGTGGTGAGAGCAAAGTCAGAGTGGGGTGCAGGGTTAGCCCTCACGTGGAGATGGGTTAGCCTATACCCGACACTAGTAAGTTCCCACAGAGCACAGAGTGCACACAAACCTGCCAAAACTTTCTAAAGGAAGCAGAATAATGTTTTCTTAGCTCTGGTGGGGCGATAAATTTCAGCATAGTAAAGAAATTATTCTGCCAGAGACAAAATTGATGGACTGTGATCTATAAAAGCATTTACACGATAAACTATAATTAAGCACAAAAGGGAAAGGCATACCTTGGAAAAAATATGCAAGAGATAAGTGTAGCTTATCAAAGCTTAATGGCAGACAGATAAGGAACTGGAGACAGCATGACGTCATGGAAGGAGGAAGAACTCTGGAGTCCGTCAAGCCTGGTGTTGCTCCTTGTGTGATGGAAGCTCTCCAGTTTGTTTCTTTGTCTTTAAAATGCAAACATTAGGGATGGCCGGTTAGCTCAGTTGGTTAGAGCACGGTGTTAATAACACAGAGGTCCAGGGTTTGATCCCTGTTACTGGTCAGTTTGATCCCCCCAAAAAATAAATTAATAAATGAAATGAGAATATTATCTCTTCATAGAGCTGCCATGAGGATTAAATAAGAAACATGGTAGACACTCAAATCATGGTTCCTTCTCTCCCTTCTTTATGAAGACTTTCAAAGTAAGAGCCAGCACTTTTGAGTGTTCATGCTGAATACTTCATTTACTTATTTAAATGGTTCAACCACCCCATGAATTTGGTACTGTAATTACTCCCATATATAGATGAGAAAGTTGAGGCCCTGAGAAGGTAAGTGACTTGCCCCAGGTTTGGACAATTCCTTACTAGAGCTGGGATTGGAACCCAGCTCTTTCTTTCTTCAGAGACCAGGTTTGTGAACCCCACAGCACACTGCCTTTTAGTCTGTGGTCTGAGACAACGAACAGACGTACTGTCCACAAGGAGATGGGCAGGGATTCACTGTAAGAAGAAGCCAACTGTGCTGGCCAGTTAGCTCAGTTTAGTTAGAGCATGGTGCTGATAACACCAAGGACCAGGCTTCAATCCCTGTACTGGCCAGCAAACAACAATAAATAAATAAACACATAAATAAATAAAATTTAAAAAGCCAAGCGTGGCAGAGCTGTGGAGAGACAAGGACACTTTTGGGGGGATGAAGGCTTCTTAAAGGGGACTGAGCTTTTCTAGAAGACTCTTGAAGGGTGAGTGTGGTAGAACTGCTGCCCTTGTGGCCCAGGCAGGACAGCTGCTGTGTGAAGGAGCAGGACCTGACCCACCGTGCCTCAGCCATGGGACTCTGGCTGGGCCCTTCCCCTTTTTAAGTCTCAGTTTATTCAGCCACAAAACAAAACAATAGTAAAATAAAATAAAATAAAATAAAAAGAAGATCTGAGGGATGTTGTGAAAATTAGGTTCATTTATTGATATACTGATCAATTGATTCATTCATTCACTACCTATGTGTTGGGTATTGATGATGTGCCAGGCCTTGTGCTGGGATTACAAAGAAAACTAAGGTGCTGAGGTACTTGTGAATAATACCATCTATGTGAAAAGGCTTGGTAAACTGCAAATCATTATACAAATAATATTTATTAGTATTATCTCCTTGGGGATGTGGGAAGGAGGACATGCCCCAATAAAGTAACTCAAATACTGTTCACAGTAGTGAAAATTTGTTGTCAACATAAATGTTCAATGACAGAAGAATAGCCAAGCAAAGAATATTCTGTAACTCTTAAAAATGTTAAGGACCCTCGGTTTTCCAAAATAAGCATAGTTGTTGGGAAATGTGGATTTTCTTCAGTTTGGGGGATTGATCTGTTTGGGCTATCAGAGGTGACAGAGGAGGAGGGGACGATCACCCTGCAGAAGGTTGATAACAATTCCAGAAAGTGTTTGCAAATCAAACCAGCACAAGGTGGTGACTAAGCTTGAGCCTATACAACATCAGCACAAATTATTGGGAAAAGGGGGGGAAAAAACTGAATGCTTTGTCTATGAGATGACGAACACTTAATTAGATTTTACCTACTGTCCCCCAGCCCAATGATTTTGGGGGGTTATCCTGGCGTTGGGTTGATGTGGCCAGGATGCTCCTCCTTGCCTGCCTGGCTGCCTGGTGTTCACTCTGCCTTTCATTTCAGACTACGTCAACCTGTTCAGCACCAAGTGTCATGGCTGCGATTTCCCTGTGGAAGCTGGTGACAAGTTTATTGAAGCCCTGGGACATACCTGGCATGACACCTGCTTCATTTGCGCAGTATGTTTTTAGCCTGGGGTTCTGACTTTCTGAGAGGGGGGCAGGAGGGAGCAAGTGGGGGCCAGATGCCCAACCCTCTACATCCCTTGCAACTCCAGCGTTGTCATGTTCCGGTGGTTTTTAAAAGCTGGCAAAACCGTGATGCCTTGATATGTCACAGTTTTATTACTAATAGCTATTTATGAACCAGTATGACTTTGTTACTTTCCATTTCATTAAAGACAGCAAAGAGTCCCAGGATTTGGCAAAACAGCGGTTTGTCTCACCAGCTTGCTCTCACTAGACAGGAGAAACGGATGACGTTTGGATTTAAAAAAAGGGCAGGTGGCCTCCTATGGTTGTATATTGCTTCAGATACAATGAAGTGATTTGAGAGTTTTCTCCCAGATTGCCACCATGAACACTGGGTTGGAGTTTATTGACTAATCCTAAAAGCAGAGATAAAGTTTCTCTTGATAGAAACTGTAGAAAGCAAGATGGAGTACGATTTTATTTTCCTATGTGGTCCTGTTCTTGATATGTAGCTGCCAGGAGGTAAGCCCTAGATTAACTATTAACCATGTGTAATTCATTTCTGTTGAACAGCCAAGTCACATTTACTAGGAGATTGGCATTTTCCTTCCAAAGGCTTTGGGTTGGGGTGGGGACGGGATAGTGAGCCCACCGACGTGTAGACATGGAGTTAGAGGTGGCAAATAGTCATCCCGGCTAAAGCCCTGTAATGTCGATCTATAACTGACTAAACTTTATTTGGGGAAACTCATGTGCTATTACTATTTTTTTTAACAAGATTTGCTCAAGGTAAATTGTAGGAATGTACGAAATATCTGTGCAGTTTAAACGAATAACTTTTTACAGACTGAGGATATAGGACCCCTCTAGTCATGAAGTTCACTGCCATACGGTTTTGGTTCTGCACTTCACGTCTCCACTCTCCATTTATGGGATGCATCATACAGTATCCACTGTGACTTAGTGGGCTAGGGCTGCCATAACAAAGTACCACAAACTGGTGGCTTAAAATTTATACTCTCACGGTTTGAGAGGCCAAAAGTCCAAAATCAAGGTGCTAACAGGAGGCTGTGCTCTCTCTTCTGATGTCTGGTGGCTGCCAGCAATCCATGGCCTGTCTTGGCTCACGGCTGCATGACTCCAATCTCTGCCTCCATAGTCACACGGCTGTCTTCCCTCTGTGTGTGTGTGTCTGTCTCGGTGTGCTCCTCCTCTTCTTATAAGGACACGGGTCATGTTGGATTAAAGGCCCACCTTACTCCGCTATGAGCTCATCTTAACTTACATCTTAATTATATCTGCAAAGACTCTATTTCCAAATAAGGTCACTGCTATGTCCCTGCACTAAGTAGGCTGGAGATACTGGGGGTTAGGACTTCAACATATAAATGGGGGGAAGGACATAGTTCAACCCCTTAACACTGTGATTTTCCATCTCTTTGAACCGATTCTCTAGTTGCCTTTTGGGGTCCTTTAAGTAGATAAGGGTATCCCCTCCACAAAGGGAAGTGGTGTAAATATACTGGCTTTGGGGTTGTCTCCTGCAGAGCCACGGCTCAGCTAGGCACAGAATAGGGCTCTCTGACCCTTACATTCAAGCCATGGCCTGTCTGATCCTGAGGCACTGCCTGCAAGTCTGGTTACCCAACTTCTAGAAGGATCCAAGAGACTTGGAGAAGGTCCAGGAAGACAGTCGCACAGAATCCTGTTTTCCAAGGGCAGGCTGATGAAAGGTCTGTGTTGTATGGAGAGGGAACTGTGGCAAAGGTGAGCGTGGGTCAAAAAAAAGCCCACGGTGTTCAGCTGAGCCACGACATCCAAGGGCAGGCTGATGAAAGGTCTGTGTTGTATGGAGAGGGAACTGTGGCAAAGGTGAGCATGGGTCAAAAAAAAGCCCACGGTGTTCAGCTGAGCCACGACAGTACAAGTCCTAGAGCGACCAGAAGAAGCAGTAAAGCTCGGAGTGGTTCAGGCTGATATTACAAATAAGTTCCCAAGGATTGCATCTAGTCAGGTGTGACGGAACCATATCACTGCGACAGATGTGTCCAAAGATAGTAGGCAGATCCTGTCATTTGGAGAATCAGCATGGAGGTCATTAGGTCTTCCTCCAAACCAGCCCTGTGTGGCTCTTCCTGCCCCATTAAGATTAACAAAGTGGAACATGATGCTATTCTTTGGGAAGAAATGTTTTGATTAGAAAACTTTGAGGGGGGCCGGCCCCGTGGCTCACTCGGGAGAGTGCGGTGCTGACAACACCAAGGCCACGGGTTCGGATCCTATATAGGGATGGCCGGTTTGCTCACTGGGTGAGCGTGGTGCTGACAACACCAAGTCAAGGGTTAAGATCCCCTTACCGGTCATCTTTTAAAAAAAAAAAAAAAGAAAACTTTGAGGGATTATTTTTGGGCCTCTTTCTATCGCTTTATACTTCCAAATCACTTTTAGTGAACATGCATTTTCCTATAACTTAAAAAACAAAAACAAAACAGAAAAAACCCAACCTAGTAAGAAAGGAAGATCCAGACTAGCTCTCCCAGCTGATGTGCTGTTTTCATCAGTTAAATCTCGGGATAGCACATTCCTTAGGCTAATTCAGTTTATCAAATATTCTTCGAGTTGGGGGAGTACAGGAGTACCTCAGAACAAGTCTCCACCTTCAAGGAATCTAGAATCTTTTTTTTTTTAAATTTTTATTTTTATTTTGTCAATATACAATGTAGTTGATTATTGTGACCCATCACCGAAACCTCCCTCCCTCTTCCCTCTCCCCCCTCCCACCCAGGTGTGTCCCCTCCATTTTCTTGTTGTAAGAACTTCAAAAAAAAAATTGTGGTTGTTATATCTTCCTCTCCCCCCCCCCCGATTTTTTTGTTTTGTTGTTGTTGTTGTTGTTTGTTTGTTTTTTTGTGTGTGTGTGAGAGTGTGTGTGTGTGTGTGCGTATGTATGGAATCTAGAATCTTGAAAGGAAAACAAAGCCAGCAGACATGAGCAACTAGAGAACAGAGCAAGACAGTATCTCTCACGTCCAAAGCATGTAAAATGAAGTCTGGGAGGATGATTTCTCTATCCCCATGCCTACCCACATGTGGGGACTCCACCTGCACTGTCCTTCTGCTGTTAGTATCCCAGATGTGGCTCCCAATGCTGCTCCCCAGTAGGACCCCTCAGTGCCCTCTCTGAGGCTGGGGCCCATCCCAGCCTATGAGACTCCCCCACTGACTCTGACATATTGGCATACTGCCCACCCAGGGACCAGCCTGCATATCGGTGGTCCAACAAATTCAGAGGACTGCCTCTGTAGAAACGCAGAAGCCCAGAGCAGTTTCAAGTAAACACAGTACCTCTCTGATATGGGGGGTGGAAAAAGTTAGCCTAGAAGTGGAGTCTTATAGACCTGGAAATGGACTCCCAGCTCTACAGCTTACTAGGTCTGTGACTTAAGAAAGACATTTGGGCTCTCTGAGCCCCAGTTTTTCAATTGAGAAATGGGGGAAAGGCGTACCTATGCCATAATGTTTTGTGAGAACCAAACAAGATAGTGTAGTGTCTGGCATCCTGCTTGACTTAGAGTAGCCTCAACAGATATTAGTAAGTTCCCTTCTTTCTGGGATGTCTCCAGCCCCAATATGCATTCATATGTTGTCATGTCATCATGTAATTTTGTCTCTTTTTTTCATATAATATTTCCCTGCATATACTTTTCCATATTTGATTTATCTCTTTTCATGGTGACATTCCATTAGAAAAATGCACCGTAAAAATTTACTTAATCATCTCCCTAGTGAGAGAACTTTTAGTAGTTTTCAGTTTCTAGTTGAGCTCGTATTGCTTTTTTGTTCCATGGAGTTGTTTCTGCAAGATGAAGTTCTACAAAGTGGCATCACTGGGCTATAGGGTATGCTGTTATGCTGCCATTCAGTGTTGCCACATCCCCCCAGGACACTGCGCTCACTCACGTGGCCCTGGCAGTGCACAAGTAGGCCTCACTCCCTTTTGGCATTGCTGATTTTTAAAAAATATTTATTTGTACGTATTTGCAGGGTACAGTGTGTTGTTTCAATATATGCATATGGCATTGCTGATTTTTAGTTGATTACTTTTTTTTCACTTTTGGCTAGAGTCATGTAAGGTTAAAGGTGGCAAACCATTGAGTTTTCTGTTTTATTTATTTTGTGAGATCAATAGGTGTCTAGTGGTAGCTCAGGGAGGCTTTAATTTACTTTTTCTTTAATTATTAGTGAGGATAATCTTTTTTTTTTTTGTCTCATTCAGTATTTCATTTTGTTTTATTTTATTTTTTAATTGAAACATTTTTTAATTGTACATATTTGTGGGGTATAGAGTGTAATATCAATACCTGTGTGCAATATATGATGCTCAGATGGGAATAATTAGTATGTTCAGCATTATACAATGTAATCATTTTTTATGGCCCTTTACCAATTCCTCCTAACTCCCCATCCCCCTTTCCCACCTCTGGTAACCTCAATTCTGTTCTCAGTGAGGATAATCTTTTCTGACACGTTTGTTAGTTTACCAATGGTATTTCTTTAGATGTTAATCCTCTGTGTGGATATCGACTTGTGAACTTGTGTTGGTTCCTCATAAATTTTGGATAGCATAAATTGGTCATCTTCATCATGTATATTTTCTCCATTCCTTTAAATTTAATTAAATTAATTTGAGTTTTATTCCACATTCTTCTCTGGGACGATTGATTTTTATATAGTTCAAGCCCTTTACACTGCTTCAGTCCTTAAGAATTCCTAATGGGGAGAAACAGTCTGTTGCCTTTTCTCCCGGCTGCGGCTGCATGTGACAGCGCTTTTTCTTAAAGGGGCACATGAAATATTTGGCTTACATCCTCCTGCCTCATGGGCTGCAAGGCCCTGTCTCATGCTGGTCTGTTCTCTGTCCCAGGTCTGCCATGTGAATCTGGAGGGGCAGCCGTTCTACTCCAAGAAGGACAAGCCCCTGTGCAAGAAGCACGCACACGCCATCAACGTGTAGGGAGCCAGGGTGTCCGTGCAGAAGACGCCCAAGGCTGTTCCTGCTGCTGGCAACAAAGGATTCAATGAGGCTGATGTTTCTTTTAGGGGGAAAGGGAGAAGAGAGGAAGCGATTGAGGCCTTTTGAGGTATAATTTTAGTCCTTTCTTTTGTACACAGATTGTGTATTTGCATAGTTCAGACTAGAAGCCAAATGAAGATTCTAACCCAGCTAGTAATTAATCCAAGACTGAAATTGTACTTCAAACATTTAAGACAGAATTCCGAGAACTCAAAAGTGAAAAAGAAAAAGCAACTTTCCCAAAGTGATACACTTCCCTGTGGTCACCAGAGTAAGGACAAAGCTCAGAGCAGTTATGGAGAATCCAGAGTGTTCTGCAAAGCTCTTTAGAGTTCCTCTGGCAAACAAAGTGGAGTGCCAAACAGTACTGGCTCCAGGGTATTTTTAGAGCCATAGCCAAGAGCTTGTTAGCTGAGACCCATTGGGCTTTCCTCACCAAAAAAGGAAGTGTTATTCCATTACTAGCGTCATGGAGCTACCTCTGCACATCAGACTTTGGACTGCAAGCAAACTTGACATGTTCTGAAGGGAGCCCAGACATCCAGAGATGTCTTCTGGGAGCCACTGGGCAATTGACAGGGCTCCAGGAAGGGTGCAGGCTCACACTGCAGACAGCTGAGTAAAGATGGGCGCTTCAGCTACCCTCTTTCTGTTTAAACCATCCAGTGTCTCCAGGAGGCTTAGCTCCTTTTTGAGTTGTGATGGGAAAGTGGAATTGGGTGTTTCAGTTTTGCTTTGCAGTGTGTGAGAGGAAATTTTTAAAAAGACTCTGGGTTGTGTTTGGCCTTTGTTTTGCTTTACGAGGTTCATTAGCATGAGCGTCCAGTCCTGTGCATGTATTTCATCCCCACCTGTGACTGTGACTGCTCACTTGTGAAGTCTTCCCCACCTCCCGCCATGCTGTGCCAAACAGGCCTGGTGGCCTGTGGAAAAGAAGAGAGAGACCGTGTCGGAAAAGGATGGCGGAATAGGCTAACATGCCCAGTCTCTGGGTGGGGAAGAGAAACCTTACTTTCTGCCAGCCTCAGTAAGATCTTGTAAGCTGGCAGGACCTCCTACCTTCAGATCTGCACCATCTTTCTGTGTGCTCCTTTAAAGACAGCACCAGTTATGCACAATCATGTTGACTGCTGGAAGGAAAGGATGGAGTATGTGTACGCATTTGCCATTTTGGCCAATATTTTGAAAGTGTATGAGCTGAGTTGATCTAGCATTTAACTGTTTATTGAAATAGAATTGGGCTTTCAAACTTCTTTAACAATATTAGTGGTAGTTTGAGTTAGATAAGCATCTTAAAGCTGTTTGGTGATAAAGAGAGAAGCTTAGTTTCTGAGGTTGGAAATTATTTAGTCTCTTTCCTTTTTGGAAGCACTGTTATTATGTTCATTGAAAACGGCATTGAAGCAGGCAGCTTGTGTGGATGTTTCTCACTTGAGTGCAATATTTAGGCACTCTTCCAACTCACTGCCACTCTCTCCTACTCCTGTTTTGGATTTTCTCTTTGCAAACTTGAAATATTTTATAGGAATGCATTAGAACTCTTTTTCTTCTGAGAACTGAGGTTTCCAGGGAACCACTATTCTACCTAGGAGTGTCTCTTCTTCCTGACATAGAAGGAAGCAGCTAGCTGTGTCCCTAGCAGGAAGCCCATATGTTTTCCAAGTGTGAATCCACCAGCCTCCCCAGGGAGCACCGAGGAGCAATACAAACAGCGTGCCTAGCACAGGGCTTTTCTTTACCTTCAGTGCGGCGAGAAAGTGATTACAAAGCACCAGGCAGAGTAAATCTTCTGGGACTGCCTCGAGATTTGTCAGGAGTTGGAAACAAGTACCTTGGAGCATTCTGTTATTTTTGGAAAGTTCAAATATACAGGGACAAGGAGTTTGCTGACTGTTCAGAAAGGTTCTAGGCAGGTTTTCTCCAAAAACAATCTATTAAATATCAGGGATTGGTCTCGAGGAAAGAAAGAAAAGTTTTCTAGAGTTAAAATTCCAAGATCTCTTTTTAAAGGTTACACACACACACACACACACACACACACACACACACACACACACACACACACACAATCATTAAAAAGTATATGATCATTAAGAAGAAAAGTGAAATATCTCAAATATATCTTCACCACAGTTCTTTATTAAATTGGTTTTTCCACATCTCAGAGCTAGTGTAGATTCTGAGGGACTTTTTTATTTACCAAAAAACAAAACAAGTGAAAAAAGGTAGCAGGAAAGGTAGGTAGTTTTGAGTGTGGTTCACTCAGTGTCTGTAAGTCTGGCATAGTGTAGGGATTAAGGTTGTGTTTAGTTCAAGTTAACATCATAGACGTGCTCCAACATCAAACACAGTTTTTAATAGCTCATGATGGGGAGTACACTTTGGATCTACAGTTCTTGTCTACTCATTGCTGACATTAATTTAACATTTATAAACATTAACTTTTTGCAACTGAGTGACTTCTATCTGCAGTGTTTGTGTCAGAAATCTAGCTTTTATAATGTTAACCTTTCAGCCTAGGCACTGTTGTTTGGGAATTTTATTTTATTTTTTCAGTAAGATTTTAGAAGTGGAATATAGTGTGTTAGAGGTGTGCACAAAAAATATTTTGCATGTTTTTTTTTTTTTGCCAGTGTGAATTCTACTTTTTAGCAAAATAAAACCCAAAAAAGGATGCACAAAAAGTTTTCTGTGTAAAGGTTTTTTTTTTTCGTGTGACATCAAAGTAGCTTGATATATGTACAAAGTAGCTTAATATATGGCCACAAATAAAAATTTGAGACAAAACAAAATGCCTATGGAGAAGAAACACAACTCACTTGCTCTGCTGCTCAATGGCAGTTCAATCACTTTGTTTAAACAAAGATATGTGAATAACACAAATATTCTGCATACAAAAGGAATTTACCAGGTAAATAGTAAAATGACTACCAGGCCTTGCCTTGCATTATTTTGGAAAAGTTTGCTTATTTAGCTACTTGCTGGTCAAATATTTCAGATTTGTTTGTTTTTATTCTGCTCCAAATGGCTTTATTTCTAGAAAAGTTGCTGTATTTGCTTCCATATCATTTTTTTTTTCAAATAAGCTCAGAGTAAAATCCTCTCATTGCATTTTTTAAAACAAATAATTAAGAAGTTAACAAAACCAATTCATTCTTTTTAGAAGTATTCTGTTTTTATGGGCTGGTGGTCAGCTCAGTCGGTTAAAGCACTGCATTGCTAACGCGAAGGTCAAGGGTTTGGATCTCCATATAGGCCAGCCACCAAAAAAAAGTATTCTGTTTCTACATATTGCTTTAAAATATAGGCAAATTTTTAATAATATATTTGATTTTTAGCACCTGAATCAGATTTTGAAAGATCTGTATCATTACAAATGGAAGTAAAATCTTATTTTATTATTTTTTAAAGCTATGATAATTTAAAAAATAGACGATGGAGGAAAAAACGGTTTATAGGATCACAGAATTTAAAGTGGGAATGAATCTAAGAGATCATCTGAGTATTTTCCAGATGCGGGAACTAAGGCCCAGAATGGGGAAGTGGCTTCCTCAGTGCACACGACCAGCTAGGGAGGCAGCCGGTGTCACAGAATAAACATGGACTTTGACACAGTAAGGCCAGGGTTTAGATTGAAGCTGATTTAATACCACTTGAGTGATGTTGGGAGAATCTCTCTAAGTCTGTTTATCTACTTGAAGATGAAGGTAATAACACCTGCCTCCCAGGGATACTTTGAGAATAAAATGCAGTAAATTTTGGAAGAAAATTGTAATATAAGTGTTGTTGTTATCGCCAGTGGAATGGGTTCAGAACCCAAGGCCTTCACTCCGGTTTCATTTTCTTAACACTTCCACCTTGCCCATCCAGAAAAAAATCCATTGGGAAAACCAGCAGTGAGAATAAATACTACACAAATAGCCCAGAAATATGAACTACATGAATCAGAATGTGGTATAATTAATTCGTACTACAATTTCTGCCCTCTTCACTGAGGACTTGTAGACAGAATAAAAATTGTTTGTTCATTTGCTCATTAATTTATTCTTTCAACAAATATCTATTGAGCACCTGCTAAGTACCAGGCGCTGCTCTGGACACTGAGAACATGACAGGTGAATGCGGCAGACAGAAAGCTCTGTTCTCATGGAACTTACATGCTAGTGCATCCGAATCAGCCAAACAGATAATTAACTAAAATATGTGAGATTAGTTCTAAGAAGAAATATTTTGACTACTTAAAGCTGCTCTACAGGATAATGCTGGCCTTGAGCTGGACTTAGACTCATTAATAATGAAGACATGGCATGAAGAATGGGCTCTGGACCAAATAAGTTTGGGAGATAGCCACATATGCGTTTCACTCTAGAGATTCACGACACATCTAAGCAAGCCAAGTTCTCAGTCCCTTAGTAAAGAAACCTGTGTCACTTATGTGAGGTCAGAATAGGCACTCCATTTTGGAAACACTGCCTAAAATATTGGTTTAGGCTTTCCCAAGCTCTGGCTTTCCCAGACCAATTCCAATGTCATGTAATCTTTCTCGATGTTTTACTCACACACTTAAACCATTTGGACAACGTGTGAAGTATGATTTTTCATGCCGCAAGCACTCCCTGAGTGGCTAGGCTATGTTGTAGGTATGGAGGATGGCAACACACACAAGGCTACTGCTCTGCAATGCTTACACGTAAAAGGGAGGAGACAGGCAGTAAACAAGTAATACCTAATCAATAGAAGGAGAGGGGCTGGTTAGCTCAGTTGGTTAGAGTGTGGTGCTGATAACACCAAGGTCCAAGGCTCCATCCCTGTGCTGGCCAGCTGCCGAAAAAAAAAATTAGAGACAGTGAGTGCTATGGGAAAATAAAACAGTGATGTGTTGGAGGGGTGGGCTGCTTTTGATTAGGTGGCCAGAAAAGAGCTTTCTGAGGAGGTGGCATTTGAGTGGAGATCTGAACAATAAGAAACCAAGTGTATCGAAGTCTGAGGTCGATTGTTTTAGACAGAGGGAGAAATAATGTAAAGGCTTTAAGGGAACCATGCTGGCACAAGGAAAGCAGGGCTTGAGAGCAGAGGGGACGGAGGGCAGGAGGAGGGGCAGGAGCTGGAGGCCACCAGAGGACTCGCTGCCAAGCGCCGTCACCTGCCTGCCGGTTGCAGAGAGAGGAAGCAGGTAAAGATAAAGAACCTGACCTGCAATACAAGAATGAATCCTGTTTTTCCTATAAGGCTTTTCATTTGAAAAAAAATGTTCAAAGCTGCTCATCAAGCAATTCTGTACGACAATGGCAAAACTGTCAGGGTCCTATGCGGCTGTCAGTCTGGGAAACATGTGCTGTGTGGACATGGCACGGTTCTGTTTTCTGAAGTCTGGGATACACACCCACACAAATGACACACTGTTGTACTTCATGGAATCGTACTATACACACTGCTCTGAGGCTTGCTTTCTGTTAAAAACAGTATGTTTTGTAATTATGAACTTCGCTATCTGATCCTACTCAAACCTCTGTAGAGTACCTATAAGCGATTATCTGAGAATGAGTTAATCTATTTTCTGAGTGTGTGGCATTAATCCTGCCATTACTTTTGTCAAGGCAATCAGCTACTGTTCTGAGTCACTAGACAGAATGTCTTCAGTTTAGTGCTCTTATCTGAGCCTTGGGTGTCCGTGCCCAGATTTTGCTCCGTGGCTTCACCCGGACTTGCCACAGCCATCCAAGGCTGCCTGTTGCACAGTTGGGAGGAATGGCCGTGTGCATGTTCTTCCTGTCCTTTCTTCTGGTAAAGAACCTGCCCCTTGCGGCCCAGTGATTGGTTCAAGAAATGGGTTTGTGAACTAAGTCAGCACAATCAGAATCCGTCCCTGAGAGTACGTGAAAACTGGAACTTTGAGAGACAGGCTTTTCTCTCCCTGGTGGCTGAGCTGGAAGAATGAAGCCAGCAGGCCCTCTGTCCCCTCCCGTGGAGAAAGTCTGTCTGTGCTAGGAGAAAACAAAGCCAACAGGTACCGAGGAGCAAAGACTAGAGACAAGAGGGTGAGCGTGCTCTGCCAACAGTAGGGCTCCTGGGTCTAGTAGTCCCTGAGGCTCCATGCCTATCTTTTCCTTGGTTTGATAACTTTACCCTTTATCCTCAAGCTTGTTGAAATTGGGTTTCTGTCACTTACAACCAAAAGAATCTCAACTAATACAGTGTCCAGTGCTCCAATTCAGGATGGTGGGGGGAATTGGGAGCCCCCATAATCTGACCCATTATACCCATGCCTTCCTATCTAAACATCAATCTAAGTAAAAGCAGATCACTTCTTGTTGTAAGCACAGTTTCAAGACAAATCCCACAGTCCTGCTGCCCTACACCCCTGCTGTGTAGGAATTCTGGGGTTGCTACTGGCTGAATCCTCCACCCTACCACCCAACCTGCTTCTCTTCTTGTATCCTCTCTTTCAGTGAATTGCAGGCACCACCCAGTCACTGAAACTAGAAATCTGGGAGTCATCCTAGTGTCTGTCTTCTCCCACAACTGCTCTTTCTGACAACCAATAATTACCACCAGCTGCCAAATCAACTTCCTGAGTCTGTCTTGACTCTGTTTTCTCCTTTCCATGCTCAGTGTGCCTGCCTTCCAACACCTCTGCTCTTGGGTATTTCACCAGCTTCCTACCTGAGCTCCTTGTCCCCCACCCTCCAATCCATCTCCCATGTGGGATCTCTCCGAAGATAAATCTGACCATCTAAAGGGCCTGAGCAGGTCTGGCCCGTGGCTCACTTGGGAGAGTGTGGTGTTGATAACACCAAGGCTGTGAGTTCAGATCCCTACATAGGGATGACCGGTTAGCTCTCTTGGGAAAGTGTGGTGCTGACAACACCAAGTCAAGGGTTAAGATCCCCTTACCGGTCATTTTTTAAAAAATAAATAAATAAAGGGCCTGAGTAACACTGATAAATGGTTTCCCATTATCCCTCGATAGAATCCAAACTAACCCACATTCAAAACTCCCCCATGCTAGGCCCCACCCACCCTTCTAGCCTCACCTCTCAAG